CTTACCCGGCCGCCCCGCAGGACCTGCCGCCACTCGGCCTATAGGGCTGACAGATGCGTGTATGAATAATAATAATAATAATAATAATAATAATAATACCATCAATGAAATTGCCTCTCAGATCGTTGTTATGCTCAACAGGAACCAAGTAAATCGTCTTCGCTGACCATTAGATAGAAGACCATTCACGTACACGCGGAGTGTGGGCTTAGTGCCAGAGGCAGCAGCGAGTAGCGCCTTCCAAATCAGGCACTTTCTCATCATTCACTCCTACTCCTGGGTCATCCCGCCCACCCTTCGAGTTTCTTAACCTGGATCAGTCTATCATCGTGCGCGGACACGTTAGTCTCCAGATCATTTCAATCCTATTCGATAATCTTCAAGGCTTCTTTCTATCTCACTCTTTTCCTCTTTTCGTGATGACCTTCCTCACTAGACCCCAGTTGGTCGAGGCGGTTACCGCTCTCGCCAAGATATTGGATGAACTGGAAGTCGATTATGCTGTCATGGGAGGTGCAGCGATGTGTTTCTTGCTAACGATGTGTCTCGGATGACCGAAGATGTGGATATTGTTGTGCACGTCGATGACAGAAACATAACTGCCACTCGCATCCACACATGGCGCAAGACGCACGAGCTGCACGGGGACCGAGACCTATTCTGCCTTGTTGTGCGTGGCTGCATCGACCCTACCAAGGACGGTTACATCTTCTCGGATTTTATGGGCATCAGTATGGTCCTTTGGAAACGGGGAGTAGACGGGGACCAGATGGGAATCGATGCCTCTTCAAGCATCAACGCCTATGCGAGATCCTTACGAGTCTTCGAATTTGCATCTACAAGTGATGATCGAATCAGATGTGAGCAAGGAGCCAGTCACAGAGCAAGCAGGCACGTGGAAGATGAAGAATGGAGCTTTGTTTTCAGTAAGATTTCCCAAGTGACATGGGTTAGTTAATGATTGGAAGTGCAATGAAAGGGTAGGATGGACAGTCGGCTTAAGTTAAGACGACCTGATTCAACAGACCATCGATATTTTCAAGCCAGATGCATGCACCAAGATGGTGTGCTTGTATTTCCATTTCCAAGGATGAAGATATATACTTTGTGGCCTTCCGTGATCCTGTGTGGTCATTCTTCCTCCGAACTGGAATTCGATCAAAAGAAATGTGGCCCTAACTGAAGATTGATTGAAAAAAAAAAAAAAAAAAAAAAAAAAAAAAAAAAAAGTATACAGATCGTATGGCGTTTTGCCTATTTATGACCAAGCACTTTTTACAGGCACCGCGGGACTTCCGCTTACAGGTTGACAGCTTAGACCTCCGTGCAATGGTGTGAACGACCTGAGGCAGCTACTGGGATTACATGACGAGAATACATGTGATTCAGATCTGGGTTGGTCACTGTTGTCTCTGCATGCCACTTGCAAAAGAGGCCATGTATTCGCCATATGAATTACATGGGGGTTACGGGAGTGGGGTCTGTCTTCTGGCAAACGATCCAAGTTGCATGGTGTACCGTAGAAATGCGGGAAATCACACTATTCTGACAAGCAAATTTAGCGATGGGTTCTGATTAAATCCGTGTTCGATTGGACGTACCGTCCCCGCGTAAAAGCTGGCACAAGAGCTAGCTGAGAACAGGATGCTCCGTCGTGAAGAAGGACAGAGGAGACATTTGACGGGAGGATATTCATTAGGCGAGTATTTCGCAGCGAGTGTGGACGGATTCTTCAAAAGGCATGGATATCGCGAACAAAATATGGTGATTCTAGCATTCTTGCAATCGGGAACGGTGCACACCTTTGCTAGACTGAAAAAGCGACCCCGCGGATTTGACATGAAATACGCCGTGATGGGTGGTGCTGCAGTGAGCCTCGTCGGAGACGATCCGACTAGGACATTTGAGGACGTGGACATTGTTATCCATGCCAAAGATCCCAAAATCACAGCAGAATAGGTGGCCAACTAACTTATCAACACCTATCCGTGTCTTTACTCTTGGATTACAGAAAATGGCCAAACCATGGCTGCCTACAACCTTCGCTGGCCCTATGGAAGTCCAAACAAACCTGTCCCGTTGAAGCTATTTGTCCACGAGGACTGGCTGCAGAGACCACAGTACAATCTTGAAACGGCCAGTCGTGAGGAGATGCGAATGGGTAAATTCAAGGTTAAGGTATTCAATCCTGAAAGGCTCTTTTGTGAGAAGATTTTGTTCCAGTGCGAGCGGAGAGGGGCATTGAAGGAGGCAACAGATGTCAGGGATTTGCCCATTCTTTTCAAACCTGTGTTGCCCAGGAGGGTGGAGCTGGATTTTGGTGGTAGCCAGAGCTTGACGGATGCGCTGCAGTATCTCGTGGAGAAGGAACCAGAATTAGCAGAGCAAATAAAGAGAAAGGTCAAGTGCGCAGCGGTCTTTCACAACTGGTTGAATCCATACCAGATCGGCAGGGCGGGAACACTAGGAGATTTGGTTGATGATATGTAGATTCCTTGAAATTGAACGAGAGTGTAACATCTTAGCAATCAATCAATAGGTTTACCACTCTTGTCAACCGAGGACGACGGTTTGCTGTTGAAAGTTTGAACCCGGCCTGTTGAAGCTTTTCTGTCGCTAGTTCAGAATGGTAATCCTCGTCTCGAATCAAGACCATGTGGAGCTATGCAGAATGCTTACAGTCGATCGCGATTCTCAAGTGATACATTTGTTATTGAGCCGGCGCCAATGAGAAACTCTTGAAACCTGATCTCTCTTGCCTCAATATATCTAAGGCGTTCCAGTCTCTCCTTTTCAGGGAGAAGCTTCATGTAACTGGAGAAGTGGTGTATACCAAGAGCCTCTAAGCGCTTTCTGTTTATAGCACCATCGATAGTATTGGACTTCTGGGTGAGGTTTGGAGCAAGGGTATCTGGTCCCTTAGCAGTATGGTAACTTTTTCCTTCTCTCGTCTTCTTTGCCTTTTATTGATGAGAAAGAAAAGAAGTGACAAGAAAACGAGGAAAGAGCTTAATATAAAGAACATGGAGGGAAAGTATCTACAACAGTAGGGGGAGTCACTGGGAAAAGAGAGAAATTTGTTCTGGTTGTTTTCGACTTAACAGCCCAAAGGATTATAGAAATGGAGAGCTGATGTATGTTTGAGATTGTTGGTAGTTTTACGTGTCTGTGTCTGACTGGTTCGAATCTGACTGCAGGCATCAAGTATGACAAGACTCAGCTGGCTGATGATGTCTTATGAAATTCACAAAGGCATTGGAAATTCTTGATTGTTATTGATTTGAGCGTCTTTTTAATACATATCAAGACATTCTAATTCCCATCCGCATCTCCCTTCTCATTCCCCTGTCACTTTGGTAGCACTGGCCAACCTCGGAATCGAGGGCGTTCTCTACAACCACTATGGATAATAAGCTAAAGTATAGCAGCATAGTGGATATTGAATACTGAACTTACAACTGTAAGCGCTGCCCCGGTCTGCGAGGCAATAACTCCGACGCTGAGCCGGGCTGATCCAGAAACCGTTCATATTCAGCCCTCGCCTATTAAATCCTTCTGTAGCGCTCTAGTCCATATTTTTTCGGACAAACCCTCGCTGTAAGCTGAGTAGTAGAGTAGGTGACCTCCTATTGTTCCATCTGTAGAGGTAAGATCCAGGTTGTGGAAAATCTATACTCGCCAAGTCGATCATTGATGATGAAGTTAAGAAGTAAAGCTCCGTATCAGTTTGTTATTTCTTCTTCAAGAATAATGGTGAAGAGGACAGCCTGGCCACCGCGCTCTGTGCTGTCCTTCATCAGCTATTCCTACAGCAGCCGAAGATGACACGACATGCCTTGCCATCGTGGAAGAAATACGGAGACATGATTAAACAGGACGCCAATTTGCTATATTCTTATGGAAGTGGCGAGTGACGATGCATCATCCAGCATCATTTGTGTGTTTTGACGCCATTGACGAATGCAAACAAGAAGATCGATCCCGACTGTTTGTGGAGCTGAGAGACTTTTACCTGTGCAGTCGACGATCATGGAAAAGACCGTAGTAGTCCGCTACACGTTGCCTGTAGAGCCGGAAATGAGCAAATTGTGTGGATATTACTGGAAAAGGGAGCAGATGTTAATGCTCTGGATGAATGGCGTAACAGTGCTTTGCAAGTGGCGCTGGACTCCGGATACGACAATATCGCGGAGATGCTGCGGCAGAATGGAGCGGATGACGGGGACTTGCGTGATTGGTCTCTGATATGAGCTTAGGCTTGCTTCATGTATGAGCGAGTTGTTTAGCTTTTTTCTTTCAGTCTAGCTTGCGTTGGTCTAAGTACGGCGTAGAATGCTTTGAGATCTATACACAGAAGGAGCGAGCGTAGTCATAGTAATAAACTGCAGCTTGTTGCGTAGAAGGATTCCCGATGCCGTCGCTGCCAACTATGAGTGAGTATTATTGGTGAAGATATTTTAGGAACGTGGATCCCGCCGGGCACGTGCGCACTTTAATTGGAGCAAGGTTTATCTCGACCCTAATCAATCTTATCTAGAGTTGCCTCTCGTTTAGATCTTTTCAGGGACCGTTCCTGAATGCGACCGGATAATTAACGCTGTCGCGACCTTGAGCTTCGGAGCACGCTTTCAGGTCTCATTCTTTGACCAAAACTATCGAAATTGGATTATTGAGACTTGCGCGATTTCCGACCACACAAATCCAATATTCTTTTATCTCTATGCGCCTTTAACGCTTGCGCGTATCCTCAAGTCCACCGGTCATAGTGACAGAGGGAAAAAGGACCGGAACTGCCAGAAAGGGAAATCCGGAGTATGGGTCCATCGTCAAAGCCGATAAGGGAAGAAGACAAGTTGTTGGCAGTCAATTCGCCACTGTTTTTATGGGTCTTCAAAATCTGAAGCGCTAACCAAAGACTATCAGGGCAGAAGCCGGCGGATCACTCAAAGACCATCGCAAACTTCCCGAACAATGCATTAGAATATGTAACAAAAGCACCCAAAATGAGCCAATTATGTCGTTTCTTCAAGGGCATCTGCGTTCTGGACCAGGACGAGTTCCGCCGTGATTCATCGTGAAAACAACCCGCGACTTCCCGGTGCTGTAGTGACCCAGTTTTTATTAAGAATCAGATTTTTACGGTCTATCTCCCCATGGGTATATAGCCATTCCCCGGGATGACGAAGATGGTGAATTGGAACACACATCTTTCAACTTTCAAGCACAGCTATGAGCATTTTCAAGAGTGACAAGGAGGCCAAGGCTCCTCAGGTCAATATCACCTCGAGCCCTGAGTCTTCAGCACCAGGAACACCCCCGATTGAGTCGGCACTGCTGAGCGCAGACCAGAATGCGATTGAGTTAGAGAAGCGGCCACAGTTTGGTCGGTTGGCTTCCTGGAGGGGATCTTTGATTCTGCTGGTTACTTCGGGCGCGCAGTTCCTCGACAATGTTTTCATGACGAGCGCGAACATGGCTTTGTCGTCGATCCAGGAAGAATTCAATGAGTCGAGTACGAATTTGCAGTGGATGATTTCCGCATACACTCTAACCTTTGGTGGATTCCTCCTGCTGGCAGGGGTTCTGTCCGATCGGTGAGTTCTTCATAATATATTAAAGAGATGTCTCTAATAGGTGAATGCAGATATGGACGCAAGACTATTCTTTGTGCTGGCCTGGCATGGCTATCTCTCTGGACATTGGTTATTGGTTTCGGCACGAGCTTTATCCAGCTCGCCATTTTCCGTGGTCTTCAGGGAATGGGTGCAGCGATGACGGTCCCGTCCGCAATTGGAATCATCAGTTCCTACTTCACTGGCCTGGACCGGACCAGGGCGCTGTCCATCTATGCCTCCTCCGGTACGATTGGCTTCTGCGCTGGTCTTCTCGTCGGTGGTTTCCTCACTTCCTCCTTGGGCTGGAGATATATCTTCTACCTGATTGTGATCATTACTGGCGCTCTTGGTATTCTAGGAGCCATCGTGATTCCCAAGGATGTTCCTGTCGCAGAGAAACCGAAGATGGATTATGTCGGATCCATCCTATCTACGTCTGGTCTTATCCTCCTTCAGTTTGTGCTGTCGAGTGGTGGTGACTACGGCTGGGGCACACCATTCATCATTGCGTTGCTCGTCGTTGCAGTCCTTCTTCTGGTTGCTTTTGTCATCCTTCAGAAGTACATCAGCTACCCCATCATGCCGTTGTCGTTGTGGAAGCTGCGCAACTTTGCCGGGCTTTGGATTGCTGGATTCAGTATGCTCTCCCCAACCTCCATTGTGCTGAAAACATGCTAACAATTCAAAGCTTGCTACGGCAGTTACCAAAACGTCATCTACTACATCGTCCTGATGGCCCAGCAGGTCGACAACCTCAACGCCGGTGACACCGCCCTCCGTTTCCTCCCCATGGGCGCAATCGGATTCGTCGCCTCAATGGGAACCGGGAAGCTCCTCGAATACGTTAACGGAAAATACACGTTGCTCGCAGGTCTTATCTTGACTGTCGTGGCTCCTATACCGAGTGCCTTGACCGCAACGGATCAGGAGCCGGACTTCTGGGTCAACGTCCTTCCTTCGTCCTTGATCAGTATTACCGCTGTGTCTCTTATTTTCGTGACAACCAGTACTCTCATCTTGACGACCGTTCCGGTTAACGTTAAGAGTCTCTGCGGTGGAATGGTAAGCCCCCCCCCCTTTATTTCTCACAACATGAAGCTAACAATAACAGCTCAACACTGCATTCCAAATCGGCTCGGGAGTAGCCCTCGCCATTTCCGCCGCCGTCACAGATGCAGTTGACATCTCAAAAGGCCACGGCATCGCACAGCAATACGCAACTGGTCTCTGGTGCTCTGCCGGTCTCGCTGGTCTTGGACTGATTATTGCGTTTTTCTCGGTTAGCCGAAAGGGGATCGGACCGAATGATCGTACGGATTCTGATATTGCTGTTTGATCGATCGATCGCCTGATTGATTGATCTTTACGACTATGATTTTGACAACGACAACGACACAATGACCATGACTACGACTATGCTTTTTCTACTCGGTTTCGGCGACGGATTTAGTGACCAATTTGGTATCGGGATCTTTTCGGATATAATATGGGTATACATCGGTTTGCATTGATTCAGCGTGCATTTTTATTGTTTTCGTTATGCTTCACTCACGTCGGATAGAGGGATAGACGACTGAAAAAAAAAAAAAAAATCCTATAGATAGATAGACCCCTAGATAGACTTTCCTCTTTTCGTGATCTTCACCACAAAACTCAAACAATAATAATAATGTTTTCTCCTTGACCGAATCCTCCCTCTCTGCACAGCACAGTCCAAGTACTTTGTAAAGCACTTAGGGCACGTGGAACCTAGTGGATCCCTGAAAATCTAAAAAGCGGGCCGCTGAAAAGTCTATTTCTTATCAATTATTATCAGTCCCGGCTGATATTTGTTGTGTGATTGGTGCGTGGAGCATATCATGCATTTCTGCAGATGGTCATGGGATACCTAGTGCTAATGATGTGAGATAGTGACATGTGCATAGGGGGATGGTCTAGAACGAGGGTGCATTTGTCTGAAGAGGTTGGAGCGTCAATGGTGCGAGGTATAAATGATGTGCAGTGTGGTTGACGAGGTGTCAATGGTCTTTGGTGTTTTGGGCAGGCTTTTCTGCTGGTATACGGCGTCCAGAGTTTCATGATTGGCCAGATTGATATATTACTGAATGCGCAAAAAGGACTGCAACATGATGTATCTAACATCTACGCTAGCTAACCCAAGCTTCACAACAGGCCCTGAGAATAACTCCGAAAAAAAACATATGTTTAAATCATAACCCATAAATCAATCCACCCCCTACAAAAACTCCGACGCATAATCCAACAAATTCACCTTAACCGGCGCCTTGATAGCCTGCATCGCCGCACTAAAATACGGAATCTCCTCCCCCTTATAATAAACCCGATTCCCACTAATCTCAATCGTCACGTCACCAAAGTCGTCAGTAGGTGAGCCGTTACCCAGTGCTTTGCGAACGAGAACATCGATGTCGATGTCGCCGAGAACGGTTGTTTCTGTGATGCCTTCCTGCAGGTAGAGGTTTGGGATGTCGACGTAGCCCATTGATTGGCCACTTATGGAGAGGTTGAAGCTCACGGAGCCCTGGGGGTTAGTGTTAGTATTTTCTTGTGAGAGGAGGTTGGGTTGGGGTTGGGGACGTACTAGTTCTACGATGAAGGGGCTTGGGTTGCGGAATGCAACGGTGGCGTTCACGTTGTAGCCTTCTGAGGTGGCGGGCTTTAGGAGGTTGACGTTTGTGACGTTGAAGGAACCGGGTTCGTCCAGGTATTCTTGATACATGTTAGCTCGAGTTGTCAAGTAGAGGGAAATATATGCAAGTCCTACCTTCAACATTATAACCCTTCATGGCCATGGTCTTATGAACATCCAAATGCGCCGTGGGTAACCCTCCAACTTTAAGATCCGGCTTTCCAGTGACCAACACCGAAATCTCCTTCTTCCGTACCGCATCCGCAGCCAACTGCGACAAACACTCGACACATGCTATATTCAAATCCTGATCGATTGTAAAGTCCGAATCACCTCCGAATCCAATCTCCTGGACCGGAAAAACCGCGAATGATGTATCGGAGCCTGAAGCACGAATGGTCGCGTTGAACGCTGAGAGATGGCCGCTTCCACTGAAGCCGCCGGCATTGAGGTTTTGCTTTTGGTGGACGTGGAAGGAGTTGGGTGTGGGATTCGTTATTGAGAGGTGATTGTAGTTGTATTGGTAGTCGTTGATGTATTTGTTCGCGAAATTGGGGACTCCTACATAGACTCTGATATGTCACTATTAGCAGACAGCGCACAAACTCCAGATGAACAAGCACTCACAAAGGAAGAACAGTAACCAGCACAACAACACAAAACCCAATAACATAAACCCACCACCACCTCTTCATATGCGTCTTAAACCGCTGAAAAAACGGCGGCTTCAGCGCCGTCTCCGTAACATTCGTCTGCGAATTATTCGACTTCTGCCCCAATTCTGGTCCCGACATCTTGAATCGTTCACTCTCTGCAGGAGTCAATATTACAAGAACAATCCCATTGTGCGTATTTCCGGCCCCCCGCGTCTGTTTTTAACATGAATCATTTTCCCCACGGGGCCGGATCGCAATGTCGATCTTCACGTGTGCGACGTGAGAGACCGCGGTACTGGCGATGACGGTGGTTGCACCGGCTGCTGACCAGCAGGTCGCATTTCTTAGATTGGGCTTTCGTGCTACTGTTTCGTTGGGAATAGGACTGCGAGATGGCGGGTTTACCCTGGGAGGAGATGCATTGTGTAGATGGTGTTGTACAGGGCTGGATTGATTCCTTATCTATGGGACTGTATGATGCAAGGCGATCTTGTGCGGACGCGCTCTGGCAACTCAGAGGCCAGGGGAATGAGTTTGAGCCTCAGGACGTCATGGCCTTGCTGGAGAAGGTAGGAGATGTCTTGTTGGCCGGCTTTGCCAGAGCCGCCGGGCCATGATGCGTTTGCCCATTGCGGGCAGGGTACCGCAGAGTATTATTTTAACGGAGTTGCCGTAGAATAGTAAGAGTATGCAAGAAAGGTAGAATAGGATATGGAAAGACCGAAGCAACCTGTTTACCCTGAGAAATTATCGTGGAATTCCTTGTTTATTAGAAAATAGCTCATCGGAACATGGTTGTCCGAAGGTCGCACCGGAACCAGACGTTCCGGATACGATAACCGAAGCGCCGTGCGGTCCTGCCCTTTTGAGACATTGCGAGAATTAATATTATTTAGAGGGTCCCGTAAGAAATTAAATTTGTCTAGTCCGATATATGTACAAATGTTAGAGTCGGACAGTGATCGATAATCCGAAACAGGCTCTATCACGGATCCATACACTTGTACTCCATAATGTGGTTCAAAATCGGACCACCTTCTTTCCGGTTGCCATTGACAGTAATGGTGGACAAATATCCGGAAGAATTGCCAACGATACTATGAGAGGATCCGATGAGTTCTACTCTTGCAAATACAGTGGCATTTCCAAGGGAAACTTATTTCGAGTCCTTGTCTTTGAAGCACTTCGCAGACATGAGGTTTGATTCAGTGAATGTTGCTACTGATGTTGGAGCGTTGTCGAATTACCTGGCAAAGAAATTGAAGGTAGTTAAACCGGGTGCAGGTGGAAAAGCCGTGGCTGGGCCTTATGGGAGTCAAGGTTGATCGGACAGCGTGTGAAATGGAACGGAAGGAGATCATAATGCCATCAAGCCTATAGAATTGATCACCTGCGTTCATAACGTTCCCAGTGGATACAATGGAAATTGCCCATCCCTATCAAGCAGAAATCCCTGCAGAATAGCATCAAGATCCAGATTCGATAATTCCCAATCCGTTTGCGGGAAGCCATTTCCCGCAAAAGTTGTCCCAACAGCCTGGGTTTTATCAGGCGTAGCCACAGACTCATATTGAACAGTTTGCACCTGGGCCGAGTCTCCGGTGGTATTCCCACTCATCGAACCATTGACAGCGATACTAACACCCAAATGATCCATGAGCCTGTCGAGATTCTGCCTTGCTTTTATAGCCGCGGCATAGATATCTTTTTGCTCTTCCAGAGTATTCAAACAGAAGATAAGGGATTGAAATGAAACTGAGCCTTTCCCTTTGTGCGCCACGATTCGCGCGTGGATGGTTGCGCTGACATATGTCGCGTACGATAGAACGTATGGTGCGCTCCCGATCGAATAGTGCTGAGCATAGTCGCGCAGAATTTGGACGGTCTGGTTAGCAGCGGCTGTGCTCGCTGTGATGGACTCATGGGCTACTATAGAGCTGCTGTGGCTGTCCGTGATGAAAGGCCGCTCGGAGAGAATGACGAGAGTGTTACAAAGGGCTCTGTCCTCGAGGTTAGCAATGTGCACTGGGAAACAAGGAGGGTTTACCAACAAAAGACAGAGGGCCTGGGGCAGGACAAAACCAGGGTCCCCTGAATGGGCAATATAGTCCATCTGGGGAGGAAGGGTTTTCCGCCATTGGCTCAAGTCAGATTTGATTCTTTCGCAGACATTCATTTTCTGACTTAGTCGAGCATTTGGAGTGGACTCAGAATAAACCTCGCACATCAGGTGTTCAATTATAACTGACAATTCGCACAGCTTCGTTAGCAAAGTTACATTCAATGCTGGAATGCCCAATTGTTGGTGATTTGTTTTGTATGATATGCTGTCAAATTGCTCGAGCTCATCATACTCGTCTAGGAACTTCAAAGGCGTGTTAAAATCTCTTTTCCGGAGGAGTGAAGGTCGGCCCTGGAGAAGGCATTGGATCTTGTCAATCGCTAGTAAGGTCCGATAAGTAAATAAAATCGCAATAAAAATAGTTGGGAACTTACAATATGCCCCCCAAACAACCCGCTTTCGAATCTCTAGCTGCTCTGCTGACGTGTTGTTTGTCGAAGGCAACACATGCAGACCAAGATCAATAATCATATTGAAAGCATTTCCAGCGTATAACCACGACAGACTTCGTTCGTCACATCTCGAAAACAGTGCATTTGACATGATCAGAAGAGCCTGTATAGTAGTGATCTCGCTTTTATCAAACTTCTCGCGCAAGAGCTCCACGAATCGCTGTCGATACATCAATCCTGCTGTGTTTATGTCATCTGGATCCGTGCGGACTTCAGGCCTGAGGCAGTGTTTGGAGACAACAAAAAAGATAGAATTAAGTAGTAGTTTTGAGAAGTAAGGACCATCGCACGCCATGTCGCGCATGAAAACGGGACGGTGGATGATTTGCGCAGTATAGATCTGGCGGCTCCAATAAATGGAGAGCAATTCCATTCCAATGCCAGGGTCTACTCCATCAAAATCGAGGCGACCAGCTCTGAGATTCAACGGCTCCAGTTGCCCTTTGAGATGGTTAGTTCTTGGCACTAACATGTCTTCTTCGAGAGGTAAGCTCACTCTGCTTCGCAGTCTGCGCAAAGAGAAGATGGCGAGACCACTCTTCCGTGGCATAAAAATCATTGACTTGCCCATTTCGTTGCTGGGGACTTGATGTTTCATAGTATGCCGTGCTGGTTGGACCGTGGTATAGAGAGATATTGCTCCTGGGATCATTATCAGGCACTTCTGTGGGAATGTGAGAGCCGCGCGCCCCTATGTCTGCCAGAGTCCTAATACTCCTTTCAGGACCCGAGATTGGAGAGTCCACTGAGCATGGTTGCTGCGGGGAAAAGGCTTGCTCCACTGACAAGCCAGGAGCCCCATGTCCTGCGACTGGCGTATCTCCAGTCTGAAGGCGCTGGCGAAGAAATGTATTCTCCGACTCCAATCGCGCAATTCTTTGATTTGTTGGCCTACCATCAGAGCAGTTAGCAACCGCATAACGAAAGCATCAGACCCGATACCAACCTCGGCTTATGTTGAGCAGGGCCTTGCTGGCAGTCAATGCCTTTGGCTATGCAGTTGCCACAGGTTGGCTTCACAGCGTCGCATTTCAACTGTTTCTATTTATTAACAATAGTACTGGCAGGTAGATCAACTAATGCATCGCACCTTTTTCTGACGGCAAAACGTACACGCCGCCGATGCGCGGCCGAGACCTTGTCTTTTCGGCATGTCGGCTCCCGGCTTGGATAGGAGATAAGCTGTGACCGGCACCGGATTGAATTTTCATTCAATGAGGCACTGTAGGCATTCTGACGTGCATGTCTATGCTATGGATGTTCTTCAATGAGAGATTGAGTTGTTTACCGGAGGTTTGGGGATTCGTTGCTGTGGGGTTGACATCTCGGACCGAGCAGCGGCTATCTAATTGGTTCATTCAATCCTGTGATATAATTGGTTTAGACGGAGCCCCTATGTATCTATGCGTTCCCTACAACTGTATACTCCTTTATTGGCATAATTCCTACAGCGGATGAGTGTAAGAGTTCAAAATATACGTTGCGGGCTACTCAATTATCAAAAATTAGCGCAAAGTCAGCCCGAAAGCAGAAGGAACAGTCCAAATATATATATATTAATATTCCACATTAAAATATGCAGTCATTATAAACAATTATATCAATACAATTAAGGAGCAGGACTCGTATTGCCACTCTGCTCAAGCTTTTCCCCATTGTCACCAACCATCTCATCCGACCCCTGTGTCATGCCTGCCAATTTATTTGCCAACCGAACCGTCTGGAATATAGACAGATCCTGCTGGAAGAGCTCTTCAAGTTTCTCCAGACTCTGACCCATTGTCTCAGGATAGAAGAAGAAAACTGTCACTGGGAATGCGAAGCAAAGGACTGTGTATACAATCCAGTACTGATAGCCGATACTTGTCATTGCGATTGGGGTGATCATCTGCACGACGAAGTTCCTGCATAGGGTTAGCTGAGTCCGGACCGGACCGGTAATGAGTTGGGTGTACATACCAAACCCAGTGGTTTGCCGTGGAAATCGATGTCATCGCTACTCGAAGCCTCAGAGGAGCGACCTCAGTGCAATAGAGAAAGCTAGGACCCAGAAAACCGATGGGGAAGAAGAATGCGAACAGAAAGATGAAGAAGGTCGTCCCAATTGCCGCTCCGTGACTCTCACTCGCATATTTGTTCGTGATGGCTATACACATCATGCACAGCGTGATACCCGCGCCACTGAACAGAAACAGTTTCCGGCGTCCGAATCGATCAATGGTGAAGAAAGCGACGAAAGAAGCCGCGAATTTCCATGTCAACATGCCTGCCGCAAGCACTCTGGAAAGATCCGCGGTTAGGCCAAGACTATCTTGGAAGATTGTCGTACAGTAAGTGCTGATTGCATTTGCACCGGTCATTTGGACCCAGAATTGCAGACCGAGACAGAGCATGAATCGATAGAATAGTTTGCCGTCTTTCATGGTGAAGATGTCCTTGACTCTTGCTGCATTTTGAGCCGATTCTTCGAGTGAGGCTTCGATGCCGGCAATTTCGTGTCTGATTTCCGGGTCTTCAGAATCGATCTCCTTGATGCGAGCCAGGACGAGAGCTGCTTGGGTGGCATGACCGGCACGCACCAGCCAGCGAGGCGATTCCGGGAGGAGAAAAATGGACGCGATTGGCATAAGCGAGAAAACACAGGGAATTGCCATTGGCATGCGCCACGAGACAGAGTGGTAATCGATATAAGAAAAGCCGTAATTGATCCACTGGCTAATCGCATAGCCGCTCGTGATGAAAATACCATCAATCACAACGTGTGCTCCTCGATCTGCTGCAGGAGAGCACTCAGACTGCCAAACAGGAACTATCGTGCTTGTGAACCCGATTCCAATACCCGTGACGATGCGTCCGACCAGTAACTGAGAGAAGCTAAACGAAGTGCACGAAAGAAGTTCGCCGATAAACGTTAAAAGTGCCCCGACAAAAATGGCTTTCCTCCGGCCGAGGAAATCTCCGATGGAAGTGCATATTAACGAGCCCGCGGCACCTCCGAGTGTGAAGCAGGAGACGTAAACGCCCTGCATGATGGACTTTTGCGACTCGGTCTCTCCGGTGGCGTGTACTGTGTCGATTTGGGGAAATAGGCCAGTCCAGCTGGCGAAGCCGAGTAGTCCTCCGACGCCCACTTGATTATAACCGAAGAGAAAGAAGCATGGGAAGACCACGAGGATGATTTGAGTCAGTTGTAAGGAGTGCCCGCGAAGCATGATGGCTGGATGTGTTGGATTAAATTAAAAACTAAAGAGAAACGATATCAACCAGCGAAAGAATTGATCTGGAGAACTGGTCTCTGGACGGTGATGGTTATATAGGGTTCTCCTTCGAGTACCCCAGATGAATAAGACCCTAACACCGCAAAACTCGGATGTGCCGCGAAAGGAGTATACACCGGGGACTAATCGGTGGCATAATATACGCGACCCAGGTTTTAACAACCTATTAATGGAAGAGTCGAGCTCCTTGCATTATCAGCTCCAATGCCAAATGGCAATACTACGGTAGACCTCATGCTGCTCTGAAACATCGTCACAATCTATCACGGAGTACAGTTAACCCAATAAAACCAATCAATTCTTTATCAAAGACCAGATGGATGGACAGGTTCCTCATATTTTGATACACGCCTGATAAGCCATGTCCATGAATTTAACGGCTTTATCACAGATCGCACTAATCGGACTACACACAGTAGTAGCAACTGTATCTTCATGCTTGTTTTTGTGATTACGTTGACATGGGCCCATGCGTCGGCCATATGGCGGTAATGCTGGATGTGCTGTATGAACTGTGGAGGTTATGCAAGTTTATCGTGCATGCAGATCGACCAAGTCATGGCGTCCGAGACCCTGATAATGCGGTGAGTGAACTCGAAGAGGCAGTAGTTTTAAATGCGGTATACCTTTATTTGTTCTATTTCAAGAATCCATGGATACTACGGAGAAGGTAATAGAGATCGCCTTTTCCCATTATTTCTGGTGGCTACACTGCAAAACTCTAGTATAACCTGGCCATGAAAACTGAGCAGCAGTGGGAAAGCTCGAGCACTGCACCCTGCGGACTCTATCTGCAGTTACAATGTGACTGCAACTTGTCAGTGTGCTTTCACTTCTGTGTCGGAGAACCCATCAAGAGAGTGGGAAACAGATCCCCCCCCCCCCATACATGATGTCGAGCGCTCCGGATTCATTCGGGATATTATGTCAATGCAGAGATGCCAGATCGCTTTACTCTGCCCAACGTAGTACTCTACGTGAACGCTGCCATTATGCCCCTTCCGTTGTATATAAATTTTTGTTCTAAATTCTCTCGCCGATAGGAAGCCGGAATACAAGTATGGGCCGCTATAATTGATCATTTGATGAGACATAATCGTTTTGCAGTGGACAAATTTCTCAAAGAAGGCACTAATTACAGACAATGCTCAGGGTAAGCCATATCCGATTCAGGTAGTTGAAGCGAACGCAATGGCGAAGCGTGTCGCGTCCTAACCAATACAAAATAGAAACCGACCTCCGGGTGGGTGTATGCAGCGCAACTTGCATACATCTAATCTTGCATAGGCTCAACTCCCTTGCATCGAGATTATGTAGATCTTTGCTTTTATTCCTTTCTGCAAAATCTATGAGTTGGTTCTGCACGAGGGATGCTAGTTGCAGACGATGTATGCAGATAGATAAAAATGGAAAGAGTGAGGCTTGTCGACAGCGAATGAGATTAATTTCCTTGTTTTCTGCTTGCAATCGTTTTCCCCCATCGGCTTTTGTAGAAGTAATTTGTGATAGTAGCTTGCATTCCACGGCCCGAATATTCCATCAATAACATCACAGAAATGAGCGAGCAAATTGCCCATGTTTGCAGGCCTAGGATATGAAATCTTGGCAGCTCACCCCATATTTCCCGATATGTCAATCTAACACGCTGCGCCTCGTGTCCCGTATCTATGCACCTTCGTCACATTACACCGCAAGAGCACCGACGTCATGGTCAGTTATCCCATGTCCATTTTTTCCTGCCTAGTCCCCGAGGACCTGGAAACCAGCGCAAATAACATAAAAAATGCGGTAAATGGGCTCGCGCTCGCGAGAAAGACGTTTGTCGGCAATTCTACGGAGCACCCGATGCGCATCTCTTCGTTGGAACAAGGATAAGCTCTCACCGCTGGCGATATAAGATCAAGGCAATGGTAGAGAATAAATCGGAGACCACTGTGTACAGGCAATATATGAGTAGGACAGTGGTGTACATATAGGCCAGGAGCCATCTTGTGCATATGTTTATGTGTCATTCAGAAACCGTATACGGTCGTATACCACGTTAGACCACTACCTCTTACGACTAAAACACCCACTGGAGAATATAATGTCTGTTAATGAATTAGTATCGGTACACAGAACAAGAAAAATAGAGAGACGTGGAACAAGAATCTGTATGCATGAAGATGATTTATTGGCAGTCAGAAGTTTCGCCCAAACGGAGTCAGTCACACAGCCAATTGGCGAACAAGCAGACCAAATTGATATGTCTATACATTTGAAGCTGCTCTTGACTGTGTTTTATATTGAGCCAGAGCTTGGCTTTCTCCAACAACTGCAATATGCGCCGCCTATTCCACGGTCCATACGATATATCTATCAAGTCCAGAACTTCAAAGTAAAGGAATTCCTAGTCAATCCTCTCTTTCAGTAAGGCAGAGGACTCAAAATTGAAATTCTTGAGAAATTGATGATGCCAGTAAGTATCGGGCAAACGCCAGCAAAAGACATCGAGTGCCCTCTTGATATCTTTTGGTTCAAGGTATTCCAAAATGAGGAACTGAATATCGAAGGGAGTCCTACGCTGCCAGCATGACGTGCTCAGCTTGACCTGTCATTGCTTCTTGCTTATTTGCCGGTACCCCTTGGCCTGCTCTATAACATCCCGTAACTCTGGAATGTTCACAGGATCTCTCGACGGATATCGTCGATAGCCTTCGGGTTCAGGACCTTCGAAATGCTTCCTTAGCATCTCTTCATATTTATGATGAAAGTCGTTTGGAAAATCGCCACCACGCTGATCGAGGAGCGAGAGCCAAAGGCCAGATTCATCCACGAGTGGCCAACCGTCATGACCGTAACCCGACGACCAGCTCCCACGGAGTGTGCCGAAGAACCTTTTTGCGTCACTAATTACCGATATTGTCCCAATGACATGGTCAACTAGAGTCCAGCAGCGCTAATGGAAAAAATGTAATGCCAATGGACTTGATGCACGTGGAGCCAATAAGGCCTGTCTGGTGGGGCATTTGCGACAATCAACATATAAAGGTGCTGGACCTTTTGAAATGATTCTTCTAGACAATGGTCCGATAAGGGTGTTGTAACGGTTCTCATTAATTGCAATTACCGTTGATTATGGTACTGAACCCCTGCCTTCTCTTAGTGTCTTGCGCAGAAAGCAATAGGGATGATTGAGACCTCTTACAGGAGCAGAAGAAATACGACCACGCCCAGGGGGGTTTTGAAGTAGTGTAATTTCAAATCTCATCCCTCCAGTCCTTCCAGCTATCCAGACTGGCTTCTTTGGCTTCCTGAACAAGAGGGTTGCTTTCCAAATCAGGGTCTTCCAGCGTCCTAAACTCTGTACTACATGCCTCACAATGAATAGCACATTGTGACATCGCTTTGGATGTTGGTTAAATAGCGAGGAAGAAAGAATAAGAAAGGCGGGAGATATACATGCACCTATACGTACCTGTTTTTCTAGAGTGACCGTGACTTTCCTCTTCTGGACGCCGCCGCTTTAACGGGGGTACTCAGGGGCTTGCTCAGTGAGCAATCACATGGCCTCCGAGCTATTCACCCCTCTTTATATTGCGCGGGTAGTTCGACTGGACAGTCTCAATCATGTTAGAAAGACTTTCTCATCTACAGATCCTCCAACTCAATGTTGGCTGAAACTGGGAAGCGCACGAAACTGCACTCCAAATAGCTTTTGAAAATAACTGCCATGCAGTGCTAATTCAAGAGCCCTGGATATTTATTTATAGACCGCTCACGCCGACTATGTAAACACCACCCATCATTCCACCAACTCGCCCCAATTGAAGACTGGTCAGAGAGGCGGGAGGCCCCGAGTCCTCACTTACATATCTAAACACCCACATCTGAAAGCAGAACTAGTCCCCTTTGGACCAACTTCTAGGGATGTTCTAACAGTCCGAATCACCACTCCCCAGAAGGCTGCACTCCTGGTCAGTGTCTATAATGCCCCCTGCAATGCAGTTGATGAGGGCCAAGGCTTGGACTCCCTTATGGCACAGCCAGTCCCATCCCACCCCTGCCTGTTTGCTGAGGACTTCAATCTCAAACATCCAGCTTGGCAGTCCTCGGCCCAACCTTCCCCAAGAGCAGAACCCTTCCTTTCTTGGACAGAATCTCAGAATCTCATCCTCACACTCCCCCGGTTGTACTAGATATACTAGGCTCAGATATTCCAGATCTGCAGCTTATTAATGTCTATAATGAGCAGTCACTTCAAGAAGAAGTGAATGAATGGACAGTTGACAGAGCTCTTACATCCTTCACCCCCTCTAGAAGCACCATTATACTAGGGGGTGAGGGGTCACATCATCACATGGACCATGGTGTTGGTTGATAACTTGATTCAGGTATATGATATATTTTTGATAATAATCATTGAATGGACTATGTTGGAGGTATCAATATTGAGTATATCAATTAGGATTATGGTAGGTTATTTGAATGAAATCTTACCATAAATGAGATCTAGGAATCTTACTGCCTTATATTCCGTGTCAAGACTTTAATCAATCTGATTGGTAGAATACTGCTGCCTTATATCCAAGGCATGAAGGGCACGATCCACACATGCTCAACCTAAAAAATACCAAAAACAAAACAAGAAAAGAACAAAATATGAAAAGATGATGGCCCAAAACAAAGACTTCCTCGTTCCTACCCAGTCACAGAGACTATCCCATGTACGCCAAACTAAAGAGCGATGACGACGACGACGTGCCCTTAAGACACGGAGGTATTCATGCATTTTAGCTGACTTCTCCGGCGATAGCGGAGGTCCAGGTGGTTTGCATGCTGATGGCTCTGAAACTGCAAGAATGTTGTTGCGCATGGCTTCGAATAGTTTGCGTGTTTCTTCTGAAGTTCGAGGGTTGGACATGGTGTTGGTTATTCGGGTACGTGATTGTTACAGACCTTATCCTGCCAGCCTCACGTGACGATGCGGGGAGTTAAGGCAGAATCATTGGGTATGCTCAATGGGATGATCAGTGAGTTAAGCAGGG